GTGAGTGCAATTCAGGCACGGCTGGATCCAAAGATTCAGCAATGTCCAGGCTGTGTCTGTCCATCGCTCAGCTTTACTGGTCTTATGTGAAGTCTACCAGAAGAATTTGAAGGGCCAGAAGGCCAGCAGCATCTCAGCACTCTAGTCAAACAATCCTAGATGTTGATCTTTTAGAAGAGTCTGTTTGGTCAGCAGTAAGGCTTTTCTGACTCTGTCCAGTTACTTGCCTATTTGTTCTTCACTCCTCAGCCAAGCAGTGCAGGGACTGGTGTGTAACCCAGTCTCTCAGTGTGCTTGTCATTGAGTCAGAAGGTGTGGGATTTTGTCCTCTAGCAATGGCGGGGGCAGTGAGACACTCACAGAGCTTCCCAGCAGTGCAGCTTTCCCATCTACCTGTGAAGGAGCTTGGTGTTAGTGTCGTCTTCGAGTAGAGGTCACACTGAGAGGATCTGTAGTTTCTGGTGATAGAGCCTCCCAGTAGCATGGTGGAGGTGGCCTCAGAAAGATGGTGGAACGGAGTATTGGAAATGTGCCCCACTTGCTATCACATTTTCTGGGTTGCTCTTCCCTTTTTCCTCTTCATCTATTGGCCCTGTGTTTTTTTTTTTTTTTTTTTTTTCCTACCAGGAAGAACAACTCAAGTGCTCAGGCTCAGTGATCTACACCACTCCTCTGAGACTTCTCGCACCACTTTGCAGCTCCATACCCTAAAGATCAAAACTTCTGGATTAATGTGGAGTCATGCTCTCTCTGTCTCTGCCTCTGTCTTTCTGTGTCTTTGTCTCTCTCTCTTTCTCTGTGTCTCTGTCTCTCTCTGTCTCTATCTCTCTGTCTCTCTCTCTCTTAATCCTTTCTCCTCCCTGTCTTCCACAATCTTCTCTCCTCCTCCTCCCCTCTTTCTTTTCCTCTCCCCTCCTGCTCTGTCTCACCACCCACCAAGCCAATACTAGATGAAATGTAAAGTTGAATCTCCCCCCATAGAATGTATTAGAACTGGCAACTTCCTAAAAGGTTGTTGTATCTATCAAGTTTCAACCAGAGAACAGAACGAGGGGATACATAATGGTAAATTTATTATAGGTATTGGCTTCTGCAACTCTAGGAGCTGGTTCAGTTAATCTAAATTGAACTTTTAAAGCAGTGTTCTGGGACTCTCAGACACAGGGAGGCTCTGGCCTCCCGACAGCAGTGTCCTCTTCTGGAGAAAGCCTGGGCTCACCTCTTTAGATCCTTGGGCTTTCATACATTTGCAGAAGAGCTTCATGGCAACTCCTGGCTTAGTGTTTGGTTGCATAACTTAGTCCAAGTTGATGTACAGAATTGGCCATCTGAATGACTAGTTGGAATTCTGGTCCTCATTTCAAGGACTTGTGAAAAAAAAAAGTTGTCCCACTATAAATTCTCAAATCTCTGCAACTTTGCATTGAATTGTATAGACTTTTGAAAGGGCTGCTCCTGGCAGTTTACACTTAGATGAATGTGCTTGTGTATGCGTGTTGTTACTCACTTTGTATAGTCCCCTGTTGTGTCAGCCATAGCAGGTCCAGAAAGACCCGCTGGAAGAGGTAGTTGGGAGAAAGAGTCTATGCACCTTGACCTAAAGATCATTATTTTTAAATTTGTGGTTAACATTGTACTTTTATTGTATTACTTTTATTACCTTCCACAAACACTTCTCAGACCTCTGTGGTGTGCTGGGCTCTGTTTCAGGCCGGTGGGGTATTTCACTGAATAAAACAGCTTCAGCTTCTATGGCACTTATACATTCATGGGAAGCACCAGCATAAACAAAACAACTCTATAACTTTGCAGTGGTGGTGATTGAGCAAGGGAAGTAATGAAGTGGGGAAAGGACCAGCGAGTGATGAGTGTGTGTGGGCCCAGAGCTGCCCACCCAGCTTTCAAAGCGCCTTGAAAAATGAAAATTCATTGTCTCCTATTGAAAGATACAAGAAAAATATTGCCTCTTTATTGTTCTAAGATGACTTTCCCTTTTTTATCAATCTCTGCAAAAGTCTCAGTGTCTTACTGTGATTATTATTTGTTATTCTGTGCTGCCCTAAGTAAAGAAAAAAATTAAAAATTTAGATGACTAGCATGAGTATTCTCTGCATGCTTTCAACGCCAAGGTGAGGGTGCAGTAACTGAAACTGCGCAGTTGGTGTTTGCGAGCTCAGCCTGCGTTTAGTTTTATCACACCAGTGAAAAGGCTGCACACAACTAGCTTGGTGTGCTCATTGCACTTTTTGATACACAAACATTCCAGCTTGCCTGCACTTCTCTAACATCTTAGGGAGAAAGGGCTGAAAGAGGCGGGCCCTGTGGCTGCCGCCATCCCCTTTCCTTCCACAGCATTCTTTTCTGTGTGTGTGTGTGGTTGCTTAATTGAGAAGATAAAGTAGAGAAAGCAATGTGCCTAAGAAAGGACAGTGCTATACTTGGAAGTGAAATAAATCAGACCTGCATGTGCAAACACCGTATTGTCTCCTTAGTGTGAGAACCTGAAAGAGAAAATGGAATCTGAAGGGTACAGTAGACACTGGGATAAAGGAATGAACTCATTGAAAAGGGAAGCTACTGAGTTGAGGAGAAGGACAGGAGAGGTAGTGGGGGAAAGAGATTTATCTATGTATGTAAGCAGGATGGTTTGGACAACTGTACTATGCATTTCTGCTGATCTATGAAAAGGAGCAGATAATGCTTAATTTGCTTTGTTTCCTGTTTTCAATTTTTTCTTTTTCTCTTCTTAATTTCTTATATATTTCTGCTTTTTTTCTTTCTTCTTCCAATTCTGCATGCCTATATCTGGTAATATGAATAACCGGTTGGAAGACAACACTGTGCATTACAACAAATACTGTGAAATTCGTGTTATTTTGTTAAGAGAAATTATGTATCACTTTTATTTTTTTCTGTTATAATACTATCTTGTACTCTCATTAAAAATTTTAATTTCCATGTATTTGTGGGGTTTTTCTGGTTTCATTTGTCATTTATTTCCAGTTTCATTGCACTGTGGTCAGATAATATGCATGGGATAATTTCTGTTTTCTCAACAACTTCTGACATTGCCAGTCTTATGGAAAACCCACTACTATTATGTACTAATGGACTACATTGGAATATTTTGCTAAATTCAGGTGCCAACAATATTTAAATGACAATGGAATACCCATCTCTGACAAAACTAAACAAAAAAGGGGGATACAAATGAACGACCGTTTTGTATCTGTATATTCAAAATAGGATAGATATGCAGCTGCATTCTCTTAATTCAATGAATAGAGAGATTTTTTTCTAATAGTGTCTGTGGACAGGATATCATGTCTGCATCTTGTACAATGAGTAACCACTAAGACAACAATATGCAATATATTAATTATTGAAACTTTGCTAGTAATTGGTTTTGAAACTGTCTCATTGCTATTTGTTTCTCAATAAAATTATTTTTTAAAAAAATAATAAAAAAGAAAGGACAACTAAGGATTCTTCCATCACTCATGTCCCTTAGACCTCAAATGACTTCTCTCTGAATTCAAAGAGCCATGCGGTTCCAAAGGGCAGCCTCTTGGGCTGCCCCTCCTCCTCCTCCTCCTTCGTCATAGACGTAACATACTTACTGTGGGCTCACTTTGGATCTCACCAAATTCCTAGCTGTCATGGGGCCATGAGAACTCTGCACCACCACAGATACAAGTGACTGGCAAAGGTGGGGGAGGCTCATCTCATGAACAGGTTCTGCCCTGCTCTTAAGTGTGCTGCACAGTCCCGCTGGACTTGTTCTGCAAAACACAAGTTCACAGACAAAGTGGGGAAGAATTTTAAGATGGTGGCGGCTTTAAACCAAAAACACTGAACTAAGCTGGAGGCCTTTCTGAGTGTGGGGTTCTCCTTAGCATAGGTTTGTGTGTGATTGTAGTGATTATATGCCCAAGAAAGCAGGTAGGAGTGTGTGTGTGTGTGTGTGTGTGTGTGTGTGTGTGTTGCTTTAGGTAATAGTGATATGAAATAATGAGCTGGTGTTTGATTGTGGTCTTCATGTTCAGAGGGCCCAAGGCTCATGTGTCTTTGGCTTAGTCTCAGAAGATAAGGAGGTCACTGTGATGAGGCTGACAGATGAGAGGGTAAGGAGGGCAAATGAAGTCAGCCTCAGGGAGGACACAGGTCCCGGATTATGCATCGCCTCAAATGTGAAGCTAAGGACTTGGGATCTTTTTTTTTTTTTAAAGGAAATAGGAAGATATTGGGGCAAAGGCATTGTGTGCTGTGATTGGAGGTAGAAGATCCCTTCCCTGTCTTCTGCATAGCACATTGTGCACAGGGACAAGTGTGAAATTGATTGGGCCAGTTTGTGTGCTGTTAAACAAGACCAAGGAAAGACACAGCCTTGCATAGGGTGGTGTGGAAAGTAGTGATTGAATATGACCAGATTCAGGGCATATTTCAAGACTAGTGGCAGAAGAGTTGCATATAGAAATTATATTTTCCTAGAGCTCTGACTGGAGACTACAGATAAAAACGGCCCAGTGGAAAGTAGTGAATTTTCTAAGCTTCTACAGCTGGAGCATGAAAGAGCTAGGGCAGGCAGAGAATATAAGTCTCATGTACTTTTTCATATTTTCATCTTCTATGATAACTGGATTTTCTCTAAAATAGCTTCTAGCCATTCTCTTCTGATGATCTTTGGTGTAGTTAAATCTGCGTGGATTACTCTCCATGGATTCATCTTTATGACACCTTAGAAAAGCTGCTCAAATGGAAGGTCATGGACAAGGTGCCTCCCCTGTTCATCCATGTTTTCATGGCCTTGCCTAGGAATCAGCTGTCTCCCACAGTTCTGGTAGGGTTTGGCCTCCTCCATTTAATACACATCTCTTGGCCACATAGACTGAAACAGAGTAAATGAGACAAAGATTCTGCCACTAAGTTTGATGTACAATTTGCGCTCTTCACAAATGCCAACAATTTGACTACATTTGGCTTATTTTTATGCTTTCTAGCACTTTCAGACCATGCTGAAGTCTAAACTGAATGTCCTCACACTGAAAAAGGAGCCCCTCCCAGCTGTCATCTTCCACGAGCCGGAGGCCATCGAGCTGTGCACCACCGCCCCACTGATGAAGAGCAGGACTCACAGTGGCTGCAAGGTATGCGTGCTCGGCCGCCCGGGCCTGGGTGAGACAGGCTCCAGCACAGGCGGGCGGCGGGGATAGTCTGCTCTAGATAGAAGACGGCTACCAGAATAAGCTCATCTGAGGGTGGGAGTATGGCTTCATATCCAGTTTTATTTATTTTTTTAATAATAAACACTTTTCATAATTTCAGGGCTCATGTTAGCAACATAGATTTTAGAATGCGTGAATAAAATGATTTTCTTTCTGTATTTCCCATAGTTTTGTGGAACTCTGGGCTTCCTTCCGATCATGCATCCCTTTATATGAGTAATCTGAATGAAACATATTTTAAAGAATGAGAAAACTGAGAAGCAAAAAATCCCCCGATTTTCCAACAGTTGTGTTTTTTCAGTCCTTGGGGGTGATTTTGTATTTTTTGCCTTGCTTCAGCTCTGGATACTTATACTGATATTGGTGCCTCAGAATCCACAGAAACATTTTTCATTTATGTGAACACAGACATGGAAACCAATCTCTGACACAAAATGTATCATTTTGTTAAGTCTTTATGCCGCTGTTTCTGCCTGAGTAGGTCAGTACAGAACTCTGCTCAGAGATAAGTAAGGAAAGACATTGTCTGCATATTTTGTTGTCAGCAATTTACTGAGCAAGGGGCAAGGAAAATACACATGCATACATGGATTTCTTCTCCATGGTGGAGATCCACTCCTGTCCCTATTTCTTATTTTGCGGGCAGCAGTTCTTGCACAGCTGTGGTGAGGGTTGAGGAGACAGCAGGCCTGGTGAGGGGAATGCAAAGAACCTCATGCACCCCCGTCTGTTCCACACATTCCCTGGACAGTCACTGTCTGCCAGGCACTGGGAACAGAGTGAGGAGGACACTCGGGGCCTTGATGGAATGTAACAGCTCACTGAGAAGTGGGAGGAAGATGTCAGCTTGTGAAGCAGTTTTCTGATAGGAAGAGCAGGGGTGCTGGCCAGGGGATGTTCTTGGTATGTCTGGAATGGAAAGGACCGGGCCAGTGAACCTGCGCCTCTGAGAAAGTGGTGGGTGGCGGAACCCCTGGCTGGCAGCTCTCTTGTCCTTGGCCGGCAGCTCTCTCATCCTTGGCCAGCAGTTCTCTTTGTGATGAACAGGTAAGCATATAGGACTCCATTAAATAAAAGTGCTGTTTTCAGTGGTAATGCTGGTAAGCTGGTAAGTCTGCTTCCCAAGAGTGGTTGCCAGCGGCTTCGACAGTGAATGAATGCACAGGCTGGCCTTAGGTCTATTGTATTTAGTGCTCTTGGTGAATGAACGGCATGAAGAAATTGAATAGTAGGGCTGGGGAGATAGCTCAGTAGAATAAGTGCTTGCCTGGCAAGTGCAAGGTCCCGAGTTCAATCCCCAGTACCACCAAACAAAAAAAGAAAGAAATTAAACAAATACTAACTGCATTTGATACAGTTCTCTGTGCATCTCTTAGAAGATTTAGTAATATCATTTTGAATTCTGATCCTTTCACAGAAGATGCTGAGTACAAGAGGAAGTTAGTAAAGACAAATATAAGGGGAGAGATTTTAATTTGATGAAGTGTACAAAGAATGTTTAGAATGGGAAGGAAATTAAAACATTGTTACGGAATAAAAATAATTACAGATTCAATCTACACATAAAAAGTGTGTGTGTGTGTGTGCACACGTGCATGTGTCTGAGGAGAGAGAAATGTTTACCTGCAGAATAAAAACTATCATTTTTTGGAAAAGAGTATAGCATTCAGGATTCATGCACCACTTTTTTCCGCACACTGTCTTAGGTTGTGTTCATTTTTTTCACTTGTAAGAGACAAATCAGAGGAGAATTCAGGAGAGCACGCCAGAGAGGGGAGGGCATGGGGACGAGCCCGTGGGGGACGCAGAGACGAGCTTCTGTATTCCAGGTGAAATAAAACCATCCCACTGGGCTGTGAAGTTATTACTGCTCCATCCCTAGAAATCAGGAAGAGAAGATCCCAGGCATAGATAAGCATAACCTGGAGCTGGGTATCCAAGCCAACCTCCTTTGAGGTCTTTTCCAGAATTATCTTTCTGTCTGATGGAAGAAAACACACATACTCCTTGCAGTTCATCAAAATGTACACTAGCAGGTTCACGCCTTTACTGTCTAACAGCGCAGGTGCCTGAGTTGTGTGCTGTAATTTTCAAGGGCAATATAGCCTTTATGTTTTAAGTCACATTCTTGTGGTTTTCTTTTTTAAAGATTAGATGTTAGAACCTTGAAATTTCTGTGTACAGTCCTCACCCTCCGCCTTCTTTCCCCCATCGTTTTGGAGTAAAAAGTCCAGTGTTCGCTGTCTGGGTCTTGCTAGTGAGTCACTCAGCTTCCAAGAGGCCAGCTGCAGAGGGGACTCGGTCTCAGACTCACGTGTCCCAAGAATAATGAGCACAATGTAGCCCGGGCCCAGCTGCGGGGCCAGAGTTGGGGACTCCCCATCTCCACACAGAATTTGTCCTTTTCATCCTAAAGCGTCTCAAGTTGTGCTTGCATAACTTTGGATTTGGAGAGAGAAAAAGGCAGGAAGAAGGGAAGGAAAGGGGCGCCGTGCAGCACGGCCCAGACCCCGCGCGGCTCCGATTCTCACTTCGCTCTGATCTGTATTCGCAGTGGGTCCTGGCAGGACTGCCTTGCCAGGCTATTCATGTTTCAGGCAGCTGGGGCTTTGTGTGTTCTCCGCCGCTGCTGCTGCAGTGGAGTGATTTACCCACACGACCCGGTGCATGGCATTACGGCTCTTATTGGAACTGTTTTGAGAATCAGAAACTATGCTGGATTTTGCGGCAGCAACAATAGCTGACCACACCTGTCTCCTCCTCCTAGCACTGTGGATTCAGAGGCTGTCTCACCTTGTTAGTAAACACTTACTGAATTAATATTCACTGTAGACCTCCTGGAAGATGGGGTCATGGAGAGAGGAATCCAAGCAGATGCTGCGTGTGATGCAGCGCACAGCCAAGTAGGAGTAGGGGACTGAGCAAATGAGTGACAAAGGTTGCTGAAGCCTTGTGTGTATCCAAAGCCCCTTGTATAGCACAAGATGCAGACATGATATCCTTGTACTATGAATAACCACTATGCAGACAATGATATGCAATGTATTAGTTATTGAAACTGTCCTATTAATTGGTTATGAAACTATCTCATTGGTATTTGTTTTCAATAAAATAAAAAAAAATAAAATACAAATCCCCTTGCTAATACATGGGCTAATACCTGGGCCTTCTTTCTAGCATCTTTGGTCTTAGCTTCAGCTTCTTGGTGGGAATCTGCATCCAGCACTTTCAAATAGACCATGCAGTTTACATGAAAGAGGACAGGCTTGGAGTCTGAAGACCCCAACCACAGAGCAGTGTGTGATAAATGTAATGCAAATAGCAGGAAAAGACATAGACCTTGGGAGGCAGGGGCTTGGGGAAACATGTTCTTGCAGGCTGGCAGGACTTGCATGATTAGAATGGATTTGCCACTGTGGATCAGGAGAAGGACTTCTAAGGGTCGATGGGACTTGGCTCCAGAGTTATTGCTCCAGGGCTGTGCTTTGTGAATCATCTTATCCCGCAGGGTGCTGTCCTGGTTGGCACTGACTCATATTCCCGAGAGTCTCAGAGCCTTCATGAAATAGTAGTGGTGATGATAATGGACAATAATAAGTTCTAATGCAGAAGTAA